ATATAGTTTAGGGTAGATTGGACCGTCTAGGTTTGTCTTTCTTTTAGTAGATAGGTTGATCTGGCCTACTTTCTTAAGATTCGGTTCTCTATTTTTCTAAACATATATTAATAGTTAATGATAAAATTAAGTAATTTTGGTAGTTGTGCTAGCCATGAATACGTATTTTTGAGAACTAATAGTAATTTCATGAATTTATTCTATAACAGTAATTATAGTGATTATTTAAACTAATTAACTTAATTATTTAGCAATAGTTAATAGTAATTAATTTTGTCAAATAATATACTTATTTTTGTCAATTAACAGCAAGTACTTAACTTAATTTTATTAGTTACCATTAATTACATAATTTTGTAGATTGTCTTACATAACAGTAATTAAAAGTAAGTAATAAATAGGAAATTAAGATTAATTATGAACAATAATTAACATAGAGTAATTAAAGTAAATTACTAAAAATAATTTTACTAATAAAAAATCAATAACAATAATTACAATTTAAAAATTTTAATGAAAATAACATTAATTTTTACTAATAATTTAAAAGTGCCTTTAAATTCCATTTAAAAATAATATAAATTTATAAAAAATTATTAATTTTACAATTAATTTTATTAATTTAATTCTCCATTAAAATTAATAAAAATTAACACAAAATAATGCATGAGTTCCACTTTGAATGGTTTGACTCAATTGAGGATGTCATAAACCTCCTTTGCCTTAGGCCCAGTTTGGAAAAGAGTACAAATACATTGTACATATTTGTATTTGTACTCTTTCCAAATTTACAATGCAAACATGTACAGTACAAATACATATAAAATATAAAGTTTTGGACTCTACATATTTATATTTGTACTCCTTCCATACCGAGACTTAATTTCAATTAACAAAGTCCATGCATAGCATGGGTCCCAACTAGTATAACCAATTAACATAATGGCATACACAAAAATTCATATTATGAAGGATCATAGGTACACATGTTCTTTTTTGCTTTAAATATTCCATATTTTGATATCTCTAACATATAAGGAACATGTGTTTGTATTTTTTTAGCAAATATTACACACACATGAAAACCCAAAAACCTATTCTTCCTTAACTTTTAGGGTATGTTCTTTTTTTTGGATTTTGAAGGGGGTGAAAATTGGTTCCCACTAAATAAGAAACCCATGTTCTTTTTTCAAATTTATGTGGGGACCAAGGAGAATTTATTTTTCTATGTATCACTTACCTCTCAGGCCCTGTTCGTTATTCGGTAAGTTACTTATTCGGGTAAACGCAGTTATCTGGGTAAGTTTTTCCTGGGAAACACTTACCCAAGTGAGTGCATTTACCCATGTTCTTTTATTTCTCATGTAAATAAGGCAATGACCATTTTAGCCATAAAAATTCATTATTAAAATGAGCATTTTTGTCCCATTCAAGTGTTGGCAACTTTCCCTTAGGTGAGAAAGTTATTTACCCACCTAGGAGATGGGTATCACTTACCCAGGTAAGTGGTACCCAAGAAAATAAACTTTCTCTAGTCCCCACATAAATCTGAAAAAAGAACATGGGGTTGTTGGTCAATGGGAACCAAAATCCCATTGACCATATTTCCCCCCTCTCAAAATCCGAAAAAAGAACGCCCCCTTAGAGGTGGGTAAATGACTTTCCCACTTGGGGGAATGTTGTCAACACTTGGATTGGACAAAAGTACCCCTTTTAATGATGAATTTTTATGGCTAAAACGATCATTGTCTTGTTTACTTGGAAAATAAAAGAATATGGGTAAATGCACTTACCCAAGTAAATGTTCCCTAGGAAACACTTACCCGGGTAAGTAAATTATCAAAAAACAAATGGGCCTTATGGCGTTCACTTTTTGGTAAGTTACTTGCCTGGGTAAGTTTTTCCTAGGAAACACTTACCCGAGTAAGTGCATTTACCCATGTTCTTTTATTTATCATGTAAATAAGGCAATGACCATTTTAGCCGTAAAAATCCATAATTAAAAAAAGGTATTTTTGTCCCATTCAAGTGTCGGCAACCTTCCCTCTAGGTGGGAAAGTTATTTACCCACCTAGGAGATGGGTATCACTTAGGTAATTGATACCCAGGAAAATAAACTTTCCCTATTCCCCACATAAATCTGAAAAAAGAACATGTGGTTCTTGGTCAATTATAACCAAAATCCCATTGACCAATTTTCCCCCCTCTCAAAATCCGAAAAAAGAACACCCCCATAGTACTAGATCTGTTCAGGAAGGTGATTTGCCTTATGTTCATACTTTTTTGTCTTATATCCCTAAATTTGTCTCCCTTCCATTGCACTCATGGCACATCTCCCTCAAAAGTTTGGAGATTAGTTGTTGCCTTAACCTTCCATCATTGCGAGGATGGGATGCCAACAATTCTTGAATCTTTGATTATCAAATATTGTCCCCCATGATAAAAGAGTGATTTTGTAAAACAAAAGGTTAAGACTGGTTTACGATAGCACATGTGCCCAATGTATGGATCAAGCACCAATAAATTATTTCGACCTGAAGAGATGTCCTACATTTTTTTTTATGAAAGCAGCAATTCACTCAGAAGGCATGGCTCCCAACTTCGTTCCATGGAAGAATAGTATTCAATCCGAGAGAAGAGAAGGTAAGGTATTGTAGAGAAAAGAAAGAGTAGGAAAGACAGAGAACATGGCTAGAGAGCAGCGGTTTCGTCTAAAAGAAATGATTACAAAGGAAGGAAAGAAAGGATGAGAGAGAGTAGGGATTTGAGTTTGTTTTCATGAGAGGAAATGAAAAATTTTGGATTTTTTTTTGTTTTTAAATTTGAGATATTTGCTAATAAAAATACAAACAGAATTCTAAATAGAGCCATTAATTGCAACTCTTTAGTGGGCATGAATTCCCATGCCTACTTTATCTCACATGGCATGGGACAAGTGTCTCAATTTTATTGGGGATCTAGCAAAAGTTATACAGTGTAGTTAACTAGAAAATCTTGAATACCACCCCCACCCCCACCGGAAAAAAATAAAAAAAAAAGTTATTTTGTGATAATCCTCTCCCATCTCTTCTAAAGTTCTATATTTCAACCAGGGGGTGCAAGTACCAAGGTTCAAAGTATCGATACATATCGGCCTGTATCGGCTGATACGTATTGTTTTGGGACCCCTCCGATATATCCCTATAGTGGGTGTATCAGAGGTCTGACTGGTTCAGAGGGTAGAGGAGACTTAAACCGCCCCCTCTAAACCGGTTAAAAAAAAAAACTTCAAAATGTATATCTATTCACCCAATTTAAACTTTCGATGCAACTCAGTTTGGCTTTGGCCCAACTTAACATCTCATACCGACTCATGCTCAAACTGGATACATTCAAATTTTGAGAAAAGCACAAATCAAGCCCACTCAAGTTTGACCCCTAATTCAACATTTTGCCCCCAGACTTGCTTATTGGGCTAATTGTGAAAGTAAATTTATTTCAATTGTCATTTATGGATTTACAATATCAAAATGATGAAAATAATTATTCTCAAAGCATTGATGCACTGGTCATTCTCAAGGCATTCATAAGATGAACCTTTATTGTTGAAAGACAGTTAAGAGAAGCATGTCAACATTAGGATTTTAGAAAAACCAAGTTAAAATTAAAAGACGGTTTCACAAACAAACACGGTCTGATTTGGGGCTGTTTAGTTTCATTGGCATTTATTTAATAACGATTTTTATAACATTCATCTTGAGAAAATGAGAAAAACAATTGAAAATGTTTTTTAATAGCTAGATGCCATTAGGCATCATTAGACAGTAAATAAGCTGAATGGTGAAAAAAAAGAGAGAAACTGTTGAGGTTAAAATCAGCCACGCGGCGAAGATGGAAATTCATTGGAGTAGGGCGTTATCTCGTCTCAGAGTGTCACCTCAGTTTGGCACCTTGTAACCTTGGATGCTAAGGGAGACTTGCACCCAGAAGAGATGTCAGAGGCCCCGGGTGATATCCTAGGGGCGTGAACTCTGACGGTTAAGTCAGTGAGCCGAAGAGCTTAGTGAGGAGAGCTAGTGAGCTCGTAAGAGGAACCAGAGAGCTCCATGAGATGAGCTGAGGAGCTTGTAGGGGGAGTTGGAGGTCTCCATGTGATGAGCAAAGCTCGTATAGAGAACTGGTAATCTCCATATACCGAGGTGTATGGCATGCCTTGTGCATGGTAGTGTATTACCATGTTCAGTTATATCCAAATGAATGGGGATTCACCTATTTATAGGAGAGGGGCTTCATCCAAGAATTGACACGTTTCTCACACATAATCGGAGCTTAATCCACTTGTTGAGCCCTCAGTTGACACGTTGAGTGCACGTGRTAGGCAGTAGGCCTACATGGAGTGCACTAGCATTGATGTTCTGATCAACTCGGCCACATGTTGCTTATGCATGATATGAAGTCAACTCGTAGTTCGTCAGGACCAGGTTAGCTCGTAGCTCGTCAGGACCAAATCAACTCGTCAGTTGACAACATTACCCCCAACATATTGCCACTTGGCGGTTTCTAACCGGTGGTCGGTTTTTGGCCATATCAAAAACATTAAAAAGAATTTCCTCAACAATAACTCTTAAACAAATTAAGACAAACATTTTATTTGATAAACGATTTAATTAACAGAGGAAACACCTTATGTAATAGTTATAAAACTGATGCCATTTTTCACATAAACGGAACAGAACCAAACACCATGCTACTTAAGTGAGAATACTCATTTGTCAGTTGTATCAGGACCATTTGATCGGAGTTCGATAGTTTGTGATTGATGATTACAGGAGATGCGGAGCTGAGTTCGGAGTTTATCATTTCGGACAACATAACCACGAGGTTAGGCCTCGTTGTCGGGTTCGGTCTGATAAATAGTGAATTAGCTGAACGTAATTGCTTATTGGGTTGTCCTTTATCGGTGAGCTATTCAGTTCAACCAATTCAGCCGTTATCAAACGGTTTCTGGACTCTGGACTCTATCCCAATTCCTTTTTATATTCCAAGTTTACAACCTATCTCTCTCTCTCGCTCTCTGAGTTGATTGCAGAGCAACTGAGAAAGGAATGACGAGCTCGCTTGCTCCTTCGTCTCATCTTCCCTATATCACTCCTTCAAAGTCTGGTTTCCATAAAACCCTAGTTTTCTTTTGCAACAATACCTCATCTCATGGAAGAACTAAACACCTGTCTTACCCCAGAAGGAATTTTCGTTCACGAATCATCTGTGCTTCGGGAGAGAACGCCTCTGATTCGTTTTCAGCTGGCGACAACAGCTCTAGGTGAGGTTTCTAAATTCTGTCGTGTAATTTGCTTTTCTAACTGGAGAATTACGACTTTTCAGTGGTTTATGTAGCTTTTCTTCTGTTTGATTGTTGAGGATATTCTTCCAGCTGAATGCTTGAAACTAAATTCCAAGGTCTCTAGTGCTCCGTGGATTGCGTTTTTGCTACATAAACGCATGGAATGGATATTATATGATTAATGCCTCCTTTTTCTTTTTGACTTCTTCGGGACTCCATTTATTTAATCAATTAATTGTTTTTCACCATATTTACGACTAAAGAAGACCCCTCTCTTCTGGGATAACCATCATTTTTTTCTTCTTGACTGTAGACTGTATCTGATATACATACCTAGCTTTACTGCTTTATGTCGTAGGTTAATAGGTTGTTCTAGCATTAAGATGTCGATTTTGGTTTGTCATGCATTGGTGTTAATTGAGAAATTTACGTATTGATATTTCTCTCATTCAAATTTTCTTCTCAGTAACTTCTGTATTATAGAAGGGCCAGAGACTGTTCAGGATTTTGTTCAGATGCAGCTGCAAGAGATCGATTATAACATAAGGAGTAGGAGAAACAAAATCTTTCTCCTCATGGAGGAGGTAATGCTTTTCAAAGTACCCAATTGTTCTGTCCAGCGTAGTCATCACTTTAAGCTTAGTGCAGATTTGGTTTTGTTTTGCATTTGCTGCTGTTGCCTTATTTCTTTTTTGTGCAACTCTTGGTGATTCTATCCAGGTCAGAAGATTAAGAATACAACAACGCATAAAAACTGTGATGGTTATCAATGAAAGAAGCGAGGAGGAAGCAGCAAATGAAATGCCAGACATCCCATCATCTATACCATTTCTCCCTCATGTGGTAATTTTCAAATACACCTCAATGAAATATAGGTTGTCCACTATGCACATGAAAATGTTGGCTACCTACACATGTAGTGGTGTCAATTGGACTGGATTTGGTCCAATCCGGTCCAGTCCAATGTGAGTCTATTACAAATGGACCTGGTCCAATCCAGTCCAATGAATATTTTGGACCGGTCCAAAGACTGTCCAATCTGTTCAAATTCCTATTAATTTAGATTGGTTTCAACTCAAACCCGGTCCATTGACACCTATGTTCTTGTCTTCTATCAATGGACCGGATATTGGCTCAATCCAATATAAATTCATTATGGACGGACCAGGTCCAATCCAATATATCATATTGGTCCGTTCAGTCTGTCCAAATTCAATATGTCTTATTGGTCCATCCAATCCGTCCAAATGGATTTTGATTTGGATGGGGTCCAACCCAAACCCAACCCTATACACATGGTATACCTGGTATACATGCAGAGTTATTGTTCACCATATGACAGGGTCCAGAAAGAAAGTACCCTGTGCTAAAAATTGAAAAAGAACAAACAAATAAATAAAAAATAGGTCATCCTAACCATTTTACACTGTGCATGTGTGGATGGTCTCTAATAAAAATGGTATTGACAAAAGTTGATATACTGTGCAGTTAGAAACTTAGAATCATAAAGTCAATTATAGGACTTGGGAAATCAGGTATCTAACAGGTGTAACCTATCAAATATTGTATCATACAAAAGTTACCATCCAGGAGTTCCCATGGGTTGGTCAACATCCATATCCTATGCCTTACTTTCATTTAACTACCTCTATTTCTCTATGCCTGATAAAATATGACATCTTGTACTTTTCTATTTTTATTTCCAAAAGTCCTTTAGGCTCAGTTTGGAAGGAGTACAAATACAAATATGTACTGTGCAAATACATACAAAATAATACAAAATATAAGGCTTTGCACTCTATAAATTCATATGTGTACTCCTTCCAAACTGAGCCTTATGTGCTATTTCTGGTTTTGCTTTGTGCACCTAACCTTATGGTGTTTGCACTAACCTACTTTTTTTCTCTGTTTTCTAAGTAGACACCAAAGACATTGAAGCAGCTTTACCTCACAAGCTTTGCGTTCATATCTGGGATAATTGTCTTCGGCGGCCTTCTTGCACCGACTGTAATCCGACACTCAAACTCTAGTTAGTTATGAGTTATGACCTGTACTGCACCTGTATTGCTTGCTTCCTATACTATTTTAAGATAGTGAGGAACCATCAGAATTTATCTTAGTAGAATTATCTTCTACTAAGCATTTTGTTTGTTTTAGCATCCACACATTACTTTCTTGAGAGTCCTTATTAAACTGTAATACCTCACTGCAATATATTCACACCATCAAGCTAAGATTTATTTTATATAGTGCCTCTAATTGAATATAGAAATGCAGTAATACATCATAGAGAAATATATCCTTAAATCCATTATCAACTTCTGCACTATTTTTCTGTCCCTGCAATACAAAGTGGGTTATCTTTTTTTTTTGATGAATACAAAGTGGGTTATCTTTCAAATTCCATGTTATTAAAATATCCAATACAATTGGATATGTCACTCTCAGAGAAATGAAAATGGCAAGAAAATGCTCTGGGGCATCCCTCCTTTAAAGACAATGCTAAAATTCATTCACAAATAGCATTTGTAACTAGAAATGGAATTTCAATATGGCAGGTAAGTCTAGGATATTACACCCAAGCAGTAGTCACTGTATGGTAAAACGATACGACACTTAACCCACATTTGATGGGTCCTCTTTGGAGATTCAATGATAATTCCAAACTCCACCTGGAAAAGGGTGGTTATGATCCGATCCACTTGGTCTGATACTCCAATGGGAGTTTGGATTTCCTCCCCACAGAATCCTCACAGCACATTGCAGCCGCACATTGGTAAAATCCCCCATACTTATATGTTTTCATTCATGGCGAGATGATCACAGTGCATGTCTGCATGTTCTGTGAGGTGGGTGTGAGGAGGAAATCTGGATTCCTCCAATGGTAGTACTCTGTTTATAGATTAGACATGGGTTGAGAGCATCAATCAAGGTACTCTCTTGCACTTCAAACATATTACTTTACTTTCCAGAACTTCTTTTGGCTTCCCAGTAGAAGGACAAAAATTACTAAAACTAAAAATGCTTCCTTTTAGCATTCAATCTGGGGATGGTGTTCTTCCTAACCTCACAAATTGGATGAGTAACAATGTAAAGAGTCAGAAAGTTGTAGGTCTCTTAGGAATTATTGATATAAAAATGTATGCAATTATACTTTTATTTCTGGGGATAGTGGTTTCTTTTTCTGAGTTGAGTTAATCTAAATTAACTCATGTTGGAATCTTGCTTTGTGTAGCTCATAAATGCCACAAGCTAAACTAACCCTGTTTCCTGTGGCAGCTAGAGCTGAAACTAGGTTTAGGGGGTACTTCTTATGAAGATTTTATACGTAATATGCATCTGCCACTGCAATTAAGGTAGTTGTTGTAACTCAAATGCATTCTATTTCAATTATTGGTAAAAAACCACGTTTAGTTTTTGTTGTCTTTTCTGAGAGGTATAGTTTATTGTCTCATAAGCACTGGATATAAATTCACATATCATGTACCGCATGTTTGAGAGCCTGAACTGCAATTATTTGAACCGTGATTCAGTCAGGTCGATCCCATTGTGGCATCCTTTTCAGGTGGAGCAGTGGGTGTCATTTCTTCTTTGATGTTAATTGAAGCCAACAATGTTGAGCAACAAGAGAAAAAACGGTGCAAGTACTGCCATGGAACTGGTATGCATTTATTGACTTTTGCATTTTACTTATTGAGTTTTAACAATGTCCAGTAACCCATTTCACTACTTGTGCTTGATTTCAGTTCATATTCATTCTATATTTCTATTTATATGCCACTAACATGCATTTATATGCTCCTGCTGTATCAGGTTATTTGGCTTGTGCCCGATGTTCTGCAAGTGGTGCATGTTTGAGTATTGAACCCATATCAATATTAAGTAGTTCCAATGAACCTTTGCGTGCACCCACAACTCAAAGGTGTCCAAATTGCTCTGGCACAGGGAAGGTATAGAATATGATAAAGCATAAATTGTAGATAACTGTGATTGAGCTATCTTCTGGAACAGCCAAATGTTTTTGACATACTATAATTTTTGCTTTTGGTAACTTCAGATTACCAATGGCATCCATGTGGTCATCAAAATGAATAAATTATGAAACCCATGTAGGATGTAGCTCAGCCATGCCCAGTTATTTTTCACATTTAGAAAGATGGGCCAAAAAAAGTCAGGTTTTAAATTAGGAATAATAAAATGCTTGTGCATTTAGAGTGATTAAATCAGGTTAGAATGGGGAGAGAGAGAAAGAGGGACACGATTTGGGGAAAGGCATTATTGGCATCCAGCTTCCTTTCACTATTTATATTCTAGAGACTATGTATGAATTTAGAAATTACTGTCGGCTTCTAGACCTGGGTGCAGTCATTCTTCCTCCTCTTATATGTTTTAGTAACTATGGGATGTTCAAATCTCTTAATTTGCTATATCCTCTATTACTTTAGAAGGCTGAACTACATCATACTTCCCCCAAACAAGTTCCAAAAGAAAAACTGACTATTCTGGACTATCTGGCTTTTTTTTTTTTTATCTTCTTCCTTGATAATCTTGAAGTCTCAACCACTGGTCTACCTGGGAAAAAGCTCAATACATGGTATGCTGATTTTGCAGGGACACTAGATAAAGTTACTCATCCAGGGAGTTTCCTATGGATGGGTCATGTTGTCACTCCACGTGACTTGAAAGGGGAGGGGATTAGGGGTGCTTAGTAAACAGAAATGACTTGATTGGAGAACTCTTTTCTGCTATATAGTTGTTAATTGCTGCTTATCCTATGGTTGGGTCATGTTGTCACTCCACGTGACTGGAAGGAGGGGGTTAAAGGTGGGAAGTTAAAAGACATGACTTATGTGGAGAATTCTTTCCTGCTATATGGTTGTTAATTTCTGTTTATCATTCCCCAAAGGTATTGTGGTTGAGCTAGTACAATTGTTGGATGAATTACGACTATTCTCACAGGCATTGAGGCTCAGACTCCTGTTGGCAGTTTAAAGAATCTGAGTCTTCTCCACTGTAATCAGATCTTAGTTAGGATACAAATAGGATACTTTAAAAAATAAAAAAATAAAATAGAAATTTCGTAAAACACAAAAAGAGAATACAAGAGAAAGGTGATAAGACATCACCCAAGAGAAAAAACGAAAAGACCCCCGTAACAAACATCCAACTCAAAACACAACCTTACAACAGAAGCTGAAACTGAAAAGTCAAGACTCAAAGACTAACAGCACCTCCTAAGTGTCAGTCAAACATCCCAGCTTCCCTCTCCGACCTCAACAAAATATGTTATCATTCTTGTTGATAGAATATGTTAGCTACATGTTAGCATTCTTGTGGGCAGAAAAAAAATATTTTTGTTTCAGGAAAAACTGCATTTCATTGACCATGATATCCCTATGGGATGGGACTTAAACTAGGTCGGATGGAACTGATCACCATGTTGCCATATATCGAGCACACATGATTCAAGTGGATTTTCTTAAGTCATAGTAATACTTTTCTTCTCGAGATATAATGAACTATTCTTCTGCATCCAACCAGGTGATGTGCCCAACGTGTCTGTGCACTGGAGTGGCTATGGCAAGTGAACATGATCATCGGATAGATCCATTCGATTGAAAAAGGTTGGGCTCAGGATTTCAAAATTTTGGTTCTTTAATTTGCATGTGTAGCTTAAGCAGAAGTTGAAAAACCCCCACATCTTAAGATTTGTTTCAGTCTTTAGCTAAATCCCTTAAAGTATAAACTCCCATGTTGACTTTGGAGTCGAGCAGAACTATTACTGTGTAATTTAATAAGTGATGAAAATAAATATAGTATGTCTTTCAAGTTTTAGCCTCTTTAACAAAAAAACGGTCTTTAATTCAGACTATTGGGAAACTGTTGCGCTCTCTATTTGTTTATTCATTTCTTTATCTTATGTCTATGTATGCTAGGAAGCATGCAAGTGTAATCTGTACTGTCATGGATGATATCCATGAGATTTTAAAAGATTCACACCATGCAAAAGCTCAACTGGAGTTTTTAACAGAACAATATACTAGACCAGACATCTCACATCTTGCAAGTGTGGTCAAATAAGTCATGGAGATTGGGTAATGTCATCTGCCGACTGTATGTCAATGGTTCAGGAGTCTTGGTATCATTGCCTAATGACACGAATGTGACTATTAGCATCATGCAGATTAGGCAAAAATGTCAAAAGGACTGGCAACATTGTATTTTCCTTTCTCTAGATTATAAATGTACCGCAAGTCTATCATGTCATGAAGTTGGTACCTAATCTGGAGCTACTAATTTTTTCTCTCCCTGAAAAGATTTAGTTAAGCAATCTCCACTAATGTATAGGGGCCACTACTTCGTGTAGTGATAAAATCTCAGGCTGTGAAGCGTGAGAACATGGGTTTCAGCCTTGAAGCGGCTACTTATCCAAGGTTCATCTTAAGGTTAGGACCATATATATCAAAGTATCAATACTCTATATGCAAAATTTGTGTATCGAGAGTTTATTTCAAATGAAACTCATCATTTCTTAACCTCTTTGGTAATTAAAATCTCACAAGTCACAACTCGTTATTTGCGTATTGATGACCCTGAAAATCCATACGCTACAATGCATTTGAACCTTGACTGTATCCAATCCATCCCTCCCAAAACCCCAGATAGCTGGGACTAATATTGGGTGATGGCCTTTTTATTTTTCATTAGGTTGCGTTTGGAAACAATGCAAATATGTAGAATGTAAAACGGTCCATATAAATTGTAAAGTTGGGTTAGTTTTGCACTGGTAAATTTATCTTCTTACCAAATAGACTTTTAACTGTGATGGATACAAACAAGAATTCCAATAAAGCATATGCCTTTTTTTTATAAAAAAATCACTTGAATGCAAATTTATTTCTTTTTTATTGATGTACTTTTACATCTTATTATCAATGTAAATATACATTGGAAAATATGTTTTCAGTAGTCTATGCCCTACAATTATTGACAAAAGGAGTAAACGTTCGCTTGTGAGACGATGAGATCGAGATTTTATCATTGCACCAAGCAATGTAAATAAAAATGCAAAAGAAAAATGATCAGACTGCTTAAATTACAATGAAAGACTTTTGTCTTCAGCTTGATTCCGAACTATGTGAGATAAGGACCCATCATTGAATGGATGCCACTTGAGTGGTTAAAAAATTCCAACCTGATCGGAAGATTGTAGATGAGTAATTTATGTAACCATTTGGAGACCGGAGAGTGGAGAATAATCTGTGTCTGAAAGTTCACTGCATTTAGGACGGTTAGAAGTTCCTCAACCTTGCTCAGTTTTGCTACTTCCAATTATCTCAGATGGGATCCATTGGGTGGTGTCTCTTGCATCGGTCTATATGCTTGTGGTTTAAACTAAAATTCTCCCATTTTAATTTGTTTTTTTGAAAAAAAAAGCAATAAATAATAATAATAATAATAGCACAAAACTATTACTTGTCTCGTGACAACCTAGCCGCCTTCTTTTTTGCTTCAAACCTAACCGCATGTTAAATATAGATTATTAACGTAGACTAATCTCTTCTGATTTCTGAATAGGAACTCTACCATAAAGCCCAAATCGAATGGTTAAAATCATCTCTTATTTTTTACAGATCAGTGTTTTGGTTTTATTTATTTATTAACATTTAAAATGTATCCTAATGGATGGAGGGTGAAGATGAGTGACTCATTTGGCGTAAGAGCTATCATGTTTATATCTACTATAAAATCTCAATGTACATCAACAGACAGTTTGGCCGAGTGGTCTAAGGCGCCAGATTTAGGCTCTGGTCCGAAAGGGCGTGGGTTCAAATCCCACAGCTGTCATGATAATGGGTAAATGTGCCTTTTTTTTGCTTTTTAGTTTCTTTTCGAAGCCCTTATTTTATCTATTTCCTATTTGCATACTTTTCTTATTTCTACCAACTAGCATCTTGCAAATTCTTTCCACAGCACCGATCAAACACAACAAAGGAAAAAGGAAATGAAAGAAAAAGGACTTAACATGGTCTTGACCATGTCTTGGGAAGGGAATGGATCTAACTCCTAGGCATTTTAGCATAAAGTAACACTCACTCAAAATCATATTTTCATCAAGCAATAGCCCTTGGGATTGAATATTCGACCAAGGGAGATCCAATTGATCTTCCTTTAAAGTTCAAATGAATAGAACCTTGTAGAAAATGAAGTGGTATGAAAGACAAGCGGAATGATTCTAATTAGATCTTTCCTTTTTGTTAGGGAAAAATTTTATAAAGAATTCGAGGACGAGGGCCTGAGACCTTACCCTTGAAATAAGTGTTGACACAGATTTTGTGTAGTTGATTAATATAAAATATGTAGATAAGTTATAAAAATTAATTTGTAATAGAGAAAGTAGAAGGGAATTTAATTCTCTTTGGTTTCTAATCGATGATGTGAACAACTTCTCATTAACGGTTGAATTCAATGAAGATGAGGGTCGTTGGTATGTTTCTCAAACTTCTTGAAGTGCCAATGTAAACTTTTCTGATTTGGTGCTTTTGAAATTGAGAGTTAATGTAGATTTCTTCATTTTGGGCTTTGTGTTTGATCATTTGTGAATAATACTTTTCTAAGAAGTACCCTATTGTAGTGGCTTGATCTTCTTGGGAGAAATTGAGTCTAAGTGTATTGTAGATAACTAAAAAGTTTTTCCCTTTTTTTTTTTTTTCTTGATCTTAAAGTTGTTGGAGTTTACAAGATCTTGTGGTTGCTTACAGTGCTATGTATTGGTATGTGAGAGCTTCTTGCAATGTGATTGTAAAAAAATGGATCTCTTTCTTACAAAGCTATTTATAGCCTAAGATTAGAGCTACTACCTCAGCCTATTTTACTAACCAATCCCATGTCAATGGGGTACTGGATTAAAGTTAACTCCCATACATACACCATTATGTAGGAGTTAGTTGTCTTGCTAATGGGACTATCTTATTACAATAGGAGATGGGCCTAACTAGACTTAGTAACCTGGATTCTTGGGCCAAGGGTTATATTTATGTAAACTTGGGCCTTGAGCCCATAGAAACCCATATTAATTTAGAGGCTGTCATGTAAGTCAAGCCCATTTATTTGGCTTTAAAATTCACATATCTACGACAAATAACTTAAAATCAGAGCTCAATACAAAGGAAAAACTAAAAAACATAACAAAAGCATATTAAGAATAGCGAGGGCGATAATAACTTTTGTTTATTCCATAGGATCTATGAACATTTTTTGGCTGAGACTTCTCTTGGATCTTCTTAGATTTAAATAATATTTATATTGGGAACATCTTCCCAATAAAAAGCACCAGACATGTTCACAATGCATGAGTGGGATGGGCTGTGGGGCCACTCTATGGGTTCCTCATCCGAACTCTTTTAATGGATGTAAATTTAGAACCAGGATCTGCTTCTCACAAAGTGTGCCTCACACAAACCTGTAAAGTGGGATGGGAAGATGTTCTCAATATACGGTGGGATGGGGCTGTGAGGTTCTTTTGAGGTGCGCTTTGTGAGGAGTAGATCCAGAATTGTAAATTTAACCTAATCAATCAAGGCCTCAGCCCAAGGAATTGAGATCTACTCCTCACAAAACACACCTCGTATTGATCTCATAGCCCTATCCCACCGTGTATTGGGAACAGCCTCACATGCACCTCACACATGGGGAGATGTTCACAATACACAATGGGATTGGACTGTGAGAAGCATATCCGGTCTTCAACCCAAGTCCAACCTAAGTTTATGTTGGGTCAGTGTTGTAAGAATCGATAGTATTTTTGGGTCCCTATTAAATTATGATTTTCACAGGTTTGTATGGGTTTAAGAAGTGAACTGCCCAGTTAACTAATAAAATCGGTACCCATGGACCATCCTAATTTTTAGTAAAGTTCGAAACTTACAACATTGGTTAGGCTTTAAGTTTTTGGCCCAGATTCGACCTAATCCGAAAACTTAGGCCTAGTGATATTGGGATTATATATATAACCCAATGATTTGATGTGGCATCTTTCTTTTTTCTCCTTTTTTCTAATTTTTATTTCTTTAATTCTAGATAATTATACATAATGGGCAAGCGGGTTGAGCAATGAGCACTCAGAGAGAGAGAGAGAGAGAGAGAGAGAGAGTTTTGTTTTGGGAATTTGTCTAAAATTCACAATGAGTTTTCAACATTTCTCTTAAATTAATCACAACTTTTCAAAATGACTAAAACTCACCATGTCACCAACTTGATGTTAAACATACTAACGAGTGTTAATTTACCATTTGAACCTTTATAGAAAAATATAAAATACATACAAAACATAGAAATTACAAAAAATATAAAAAAATATAGAAATTGCAAACAAAATAAAAAATTATTTTCAAATTATAGAAACTGTATAAATTGAAAAAACAAAATCAGAAAAAAAATTGTAGAAAAAACACCAAAATTTATAGAAATTATAAAAATATTGGAAATTATAACAAAACACTAAAAATGCAAAAAAAAAAACAAGAAAATTGAAAACTGAAAAAGACCAGTTTTCCTATAACTCACCATTCAAGAGTAATTTGGTCATGAAAATTGTTATTTATGCTGACATGGACACCTCTGTTAAGAAGCATTAACGGTGCACTAATGGAAGGTAAGTTTTGAAAAATAAAAACTTATTGACATTGTGAGTTTTATACATTTTGAAAAAGTTGTGGTGAATTTAAGAGAATTGTTGAAAACTCATGGTGAGTTTTTAACAATTTCCCTCTTGTTTTCCCATTAATGACTTGCCTCTCTCTCTATTGCCTCTTGATCTAGATTAACTTTTTTGTCTTCTTCTATTTAAAACCCATGAATGCTTTGGTTTTCATCAATCCATTCACCAAGAAATATAAAATATTATTAATATTACTAATAAAATTATTGAAATTAATTAAATATCATTTTTAAAAGATTAATAAAAAATATTAACAAATTTAGTTTTACTAGAATTTATAACCATTTAAATTCATTTTAAAATAATATAAATTAATAAAATGAGAAAAATATTAAATTGAGAACTAAATTTTTAATAATTTAATATTATATTAAATGACATTTGAAAATAATTATATTAATAAAATTTTAAGATTATTCAATAAAAAAAGTAGAGCATACGAATTTAACCACTCTCATTAGGCATTAAGGGTGCAAATAGGGTTGCAATCAAATAGGGTAAACATAACCTAAAATACAATATTTAGGTTAGGCTTAGACCGGCTTGGCTCAATTGGAAATATCATAGTACTCCTTATAGTTTAATAATCTCACTTAACAAATCCCGTACATCGCACGGGTTCTGACTAGTAAACTGATCAAACCCTAAAGGTGAGTATAAAAGGAGAGGTTGAATGAATGATGTGCGCTTCCTCGGAGTAAACAGAGAGAGAAGATTGACTGAGCGAAAAAATGCAGATCTTTGTGAAAACCCTAACGGGGAAGACGATAACCCTAGAAGTAGAGAGCAGCGACACCATTGACAATGTCAAAGCAAAGATCCAAGACAAGGAAGGTAAATTATTCCTCAAACAGATCTATTCCACTTTGTATACTCTTCTTTGTGTGTGGCTCTAAAAATGGTGTACTTTAGCAGGTATTCCTCCTGATCAGCAGCGATTAATCTTCGCCGGAAAGCAGCTCGAAGATGGCCGGACCCTTGCTGACTACAACATCCAGAAAGGTTTCTATTTTAACCCCCAGTTGGTGTTCTTTAGTTTCTTTTGAACCTTTCGTATTTTAACTAGTTTTTGAACTGTTGGTTTTGTCGTGTCGTGGCTGCTGCTGCGGATTATGCAGAGTCTACGTTGCATCTGGTTCTGAGGCTTCGTGGAGGAATTATCGAGCCTTCTTTGATGGCTTTGGCTCGAAAATACAATCAGGACAAGATGATTTGCAGGAAGTAAGTTTCCTATCTTCTTTGTTATTCTTATTTTCTCTGTGTGTCCTTGTAAGAATTGGCGTATGCGTGATGCGTGTGGATGTAGCATGATATGATGTTTTATGGGTTTATAGTGTCATCGGTTTTCGTCTCGCAAGAATGCCCAATTGTGTTCTTTTCTGAAAGTCTCGATTTGGTTTGTTTAATCCTGGGTTATGCTGTTATCAGTGGGACTATAAGTTCTTAGATTCTCCTGCTTTAAATGTGCAAGGAGGTTATTGTTTAGTTCCCAATATGAATGGCCACTCTTTTACTTTGTCAGCTGGCTTCAATTCCATTGCAGTTGATTTTCGGGAGTGGAACATGTTATATCATTTCGAACGACTGTGTAATTAGTGTAGAACAATTAACTATGTGCGGGTTATTAATTAATTAATTTATTTTTGATTATTGAAAGCGGGTTGTTAATTTTTAGATGCAGTTATTATGCAATTATTTTGCAGTGTTTGCTAGTTGGTACATTCATTTCGTGGAAAGGAGTATTTCGCTAGCAAACTAGTTTTTATCACGGACGTCCAATAATCACCCCACGTCCCCACCTAGATTGGTTCAATGTCGACTGGCTTATTAACCTTCATAGATAATTTAGATTTGATTATTGACAGCTCTTAAGGCTACCCGGATGTAACTTTTAGATATTACACATAAACATCTCTAGGAATTAGTTGGAATATAGCATAATCGATAATTTAGTCTGGAGTCGGAATTCACATTTTTTTCTGTTGTCATTTGCAATTTAATAATGTTAAGAGGTCTATACTTGATGTTAGCCAAAAGGCCGAGAAAGGTATAATGACGTTGAGACTTGAGAGATGTCATTCTTTCATCTGACCATATTCAGGATTGAAGGGTATGCAAGTTTTGGAATGCATTCCCTGGACATGCCTTCATTAGGTGATCCATACTTTATGCTTTTGTATTAATTTGAAATTAGGAATGGTGTTAATATATTTGAAATGGGCATACTTTCTTGATTTGCAAGGTTCCCTTTGCACAGAGCCTCTGCAGACATCTTCCTTAAAACTGGCTCTGGATGCTTTTATTGAGGCCTAGTTATAATTACAGTTTCCTCTTTTGATTGCTAGACAACATCCATACGCTGCTTCTCAGTTTCTCTGAGTTTAACTAATTTTGCAAGGATCACGGTCATACAATTCTATATTGTAAATCTATTCCAATATAGAATTTTGCAAGGATCAATGTAATGGATCTTCCTTCGTGTGCATTTATAGAAAAGTTCTGTTTCTGTTGGCCTTGACCTTATGTTTTTCTTTTCTAGTATAAGAGGAATGGTGATATCATCTTATTGTATTTTGTTTCCTATCTGCCTTTTGTTCCAACATGTTTCTGATTGTCCTGTGCTCACCTTGTTCCTTACATTATAGGTGCTACGCACGTCTGCATCCCAGGGCTGTCAATTGCAGAAAGAAGAAATGTGGTCACAGCAACCAGGTAGTTTAGGTTATAACCACCCCCCCTCCCCCGCCCCAAGAAAAAAAGGAACAAAACAAGATGTTAAAACTTGAAAGCCGTTGTAGTTGTACTTAGTTTAACATTTCAACTGTCTGAACTAAAACTCTGCCTTTTCTCGTTACAGCTGAGGCCAAAGAAGAAGATCAAGTGAGCTCTTGTTGAGTCTTGCTTACATCTTGTAGGGGTATTGCATCGTAGAGTATCGACTAGTCTCTTTCTAAAAGAACGGATTGCTTGGTTGCAAAAGGATTTTGTCTTTGTAATTTCATTGACGCGTTAAGTTGGATGCTTTTTTTTATTAATTTGAGATGCGATATTGCTGGGATTTTATTAATCTTTCTTTTCTGTCTAAGTGCCTTGATAATTTCATAATACCTAACCTATGCTAAAAGGTTTTTAAGGTGTACATGGCCATAATAAATCTGAAGTCCATTCCAACCGAATGCAATGACGGAGCCCTGCTGCATGTTCAAATTTCTAGCATCGTCTCCCTTTAAAAGAATTTTGGCTTTTTGCTTCTCCATCTGTAGGGCGTGTCTGAGATTGCTGATTGTCTGATTAAAACCCTCTTATAAAAGCTTGCTGATTGTTCCTGGTTATTTTCAATTAATTTTGTTCATGATATATAACGATCATTTTTATTTCACTTTATTAGTATTTTAGTAATACGTTGTAATTTGATCACTTTTAGTTTATTTCATTATTTAATTACAATCCGAAGTTCAGATTTATGTCCAATGGCTAATATTCAATTTTTCAATCCAAATTTTAATGAATCCAACCAAGGCATTAGGCTGATCACTTGGTATCGGTCCATAAGTATCGTCATGTATCGGCAGTTCAGGGGGTGGAGGAGTTTATAAATTGGCCCTTCTGAATTGATTTAAAAAAAAAAGTAAAAAAAAAAAAAGACCAATACTGCCCGATATGGCCCTACTGGTGTATCAGATATATCCATAGTTAAAACCTTGCAAACATGCTCTACAACACCATCATTTCTGGCGCAGTGTTTAGAAGGTTGTAATTTGAGCACCCACTGAGTGAAATTTCGCTTGAATATAGCAGGGGATGACAGGATGCATCAGAGGTGCTATTGGGCATCCTCACTCATCAGTTAATCGCGTATAACCTATCGAACCAAGTTAATGCTAACTGTACATTCTTTGGGCAACAAAATATCATTGTCTATGAGCAGTTGGGGCATTTTATGTTAATACTTAGTAGGACCTCGGGAAGGTCCTGCATTTGGGGGATAACATACAAGAAACATGGACAAAGTGTGGTACCTTTGAAAGGCAGCCAGTTGCTTGATTCTTTTCGCATCCCAGTCCCAATATATTTAAATATAATTAGCTCCTACATCAGTTGAAGGCAGTTCCATTGGCTGGGGAAGCGCCATGGTCCTAATTTCTGGTACTGTAATGCTTGGTCTTGGTCGAAGATGGAATTGGTTCCAGAATAAATTATTTGTAAGTTTGTAACTAGTAATGTGTAGCCAAGTGCAGAGAAGACGCATATAACGCCCATAATTCTATTATATGTTTGGTCGTGATTCCACCCTTTGCAACGAAAGTGAGACTGGCGATCAGTGGTGTCCATAAATGAGGTTCCATGGCTTTTTCTTTGCTGTGTTACCTTAACATGCCCCCCATAAGTATTGAGCTTGATCCTTGAAGCCAAGCTGAAGGTAGTTTTTTTTTTTTTCTTTATTTTTTATATATTGTTTTTTGACGGGATGGTGATTGAACCTATGAGGAAATGAGGTAATTTGGGCTCTAAGCAAATGATGGGTTTCTCCCACTGTGAGGCGCAAAAGAGAGGTTGTGTAGATGTGTGAGCTGAAAATCATGGTGGTTGCAAACCTTACGGGCTAGGCAGAGGTTATAAGCCCAGAAACTATAGCGGTGTTTGGGAGTGCTTTTGGCTTAAATAGGCTTTTGAAAAAGCCGTTTTTTTTTGAAAAGTGCTTTCTTAGTGTTTGGCTGATCACCAGCTTTTTTGGTCAGGACAGCTTCTTGCAAAAGTAGAAAAGCTAAATGGAGTTTTCATGCTTTACAAATGGGCTTTTTTTATGCAAAAAACACAAAAAAGCCTATTTTGAGCTTTTTCACCAAACAATTTTCTGACTTGCAACAGAACGAATCTAAATGAAATATATTGCTCACTTGGTCACTGTTGTGATAGCAGCCATTATTATTCATACTGTATTTGTTTTTGTTTAGATCTGGGGTTTATATGCCTTTTTCTTATCACTCAAATAGTAGTTTAGGAAACATAATAATTTCATAAACAGAGATGTTCTTGTAAATTTGTAATTGCCTTGTTATAAGAGATCTATGAAAGAGGCTTGGCCAACGGGTATATTTATGCTTTTCTCCTCAATCGGGAGGCCTGTTTCTGTCTTTTCTCTTCTCCCTTCTATTTATTATATTCCTTTGAATCCTTTGGTCCTTTCTTTTACCTGGTATTGCACACCATATGCGGAACTTTTACATGGTACCAAAGCAGGGAATAACTAAACTATGTTACTCGTCTATTCTTCTCCTTCACTCATCAAGAGAATTTTGAGCATAGTTTAGACCTGACCAGCTCTCAGATTCAGTGGTGGTATTATCCATCACTTCTACCTGTTGTGTTAGCAGTCAAGTGATGCATTACACTCAATTGGTACAGACCGAGAGGGATTTCATGTAATAGGAGTTAACTTTTGATGCAGAAAAGTGAGTAACATTTCAATAGATCTGGTTTGTGTTTTGTGCAGCATTTTTTATGTGACATACTGTGATTTGTGAAGTGAAATAGGAGTACCAGGTGAACAAATTGGCAAATGGTCTTTTTAACTAAATTTGGAGCAATTGGTGTTTTAATCAAGTAACATTAGTGATACAAGGAGATTTCCGTTTCTGGTTACAGAGGTTCTATGTCTATTTCTGTAATTGTGAGGTGAAACAGCACAGAATCAACATATACTATATGCCGTCAATGGACTTGATGTCTATTTAGATCATCATCTTCATCATACAAGCCTTATCGCAGCTGTATGCGGTTATGAATACTGTTTTGCCATTCCATTCTGTTCAATACCATATCCATTGTGAAATTATGTGTGCTTAAACCATTTCTTACTATTTCAACCCATGTCTTTTCTGGTCTACCTCTAGCCCTTCTGTGCACGTGACCAAAACATCTTAATCTACTTTCTCTCATTTTATCACCTATTGGAGCTACTCCTAGATTCCTTTGAATAACTTCATTTCTGACCCTATTCTTTCTAGTCTTTCCACTCCATCTCAACATACACATTTCTACCACACTATTTGATGTCTATTTAGATTTTATTTATGACTTCCATAAAGTTAAATGGAAAATATTGTGTTGTTTGGGTGAAGTCTATTGAAGTCTTTCTTACTGTCAGGAAAAATAAAACATTTGACTAATAACAAACCAGAATTAGAGTCCTACTTATTCAGAATGGATACAAGAAAATGGTTAGACCAAAACATGGCTATGTAACCTAATGGAGCAGCACATTGACTTTTATGTAGCAAAAGTCATGGGACTGTCAGGAGCCAAACATCCATTAGCCCATTACCTCAAACATTATAGTTATAGAACAACAGAGAAAAGACTTTTATGTAGCAAAATGTTCATGTGGAATAAGTCTGAATATGAACCAATGTGACCTTAGATGTTAGGTAGCCCAACAGAAGGCTTTGCTGATGTTTAATTTCCAAATTGCCTCCTAGGTTCTGATCTCCTCCTCCTCCTTGCAGTACCAGGAGGTGCCTGATAGAGAAGGAAAAAAGAATAAACAGATAAGAACAACACTGATACTTCAAAAGGGCACCTCACAAATAAACCTAAAAGGTAATCACTATCATTCAAAATAAAAAATAAACATTACAATCTAATTACCAAAACAGTAGCTAGAAACTTATTTTTTCTAAAACAACAGCAAGGTGGAAAAGTGAGAAATTTTGAGAATCGTCATGTTCTATGTTACCCTGAGAAAATCTCAAGTAGCAGACAACTCTCAAGCAGAAACCCCTAGTAGCCAGCCAAATGGGTCTGATCCTGTAATTGCATACAATAGGGGGAAAAAGAATGCATGTTTGATGAACACCACCCCCCAAAAGATATGAACAATTGAAACTCCCTGTTTCACAAATCATGACCTTTTTCATGACATGTTGCTAGCAGAACAAAATGCAGTTTGGACTGGGTGTACAAAGCATTATATATTCCTTTGGTGCCAAGAACAAGTACCTCCTTGCATTTCAAATTTATAGTTCTTTCATAACAAACATGCACCAATATGGTATCTAACTGCAGAGGTCAGTGTTTGTGTTTCTTTGCACATTTTTAACACATAGATTTCCAAAAATAAGATTACTTTACTTTCCCTAGAAAGTACTTACAAATATTGTGATTTTTAATTTTTTATATACACAATATCCACAGCCCACACACACAAATAAATAGATGATATATATATATATATATATGTAGAGAGAGAGAGAGGAACCTTTTTGTTCAGCTTTCAGTGCCTCCTCAATATTGCTTAGTGCAGGAATGGATCCTCCTTCCAATACCCCCATCAAATTCTTCATACGAACACATATTTGGAAAAGTTGGGAAACAAGTTTAGCTTACCTGAAACAGTTAGAAAAGAGATGCGAGGTTAACTTTTTGTTTTTGATTTGATTGGAAATTATGACTTTAATTAGATATTGAAAATGAATAAAATGCATACAAGTATGTCAGGCATCCTACAATGTAGGCTAGCATCTTCCACCTACCCTTCTATTTTAACTATTGACAAAGCAATCTCAGAATTATCCATCAAACCGAGTCCTTTTACCCTCTGTTTGGCTAATGCTTTGGCCAAGCAATTTGCTCAACCAGAACCCAAGAGAATTTTGCCCCTAGCTTGATTGTCATAATTCTTATCAACACTAACCCAGGTTAACTTTTTTAATAGACTTTTATAGGTAAAACGTAATTGTATTATGTTAAACTAAAAAAGCAAAAAGGCCTATACAAATAACTGAGGCATGCCAGTATAACCCGTGCATAGTCTTATGTATTGAGAAGATTACAAAAATGATTTGACTACTGGTCACCTTCCTTTAGGAAATACTTTATGCTCCTGCTTTGTATTTAACTGATCCACACAGTTTATTCCTGGTGAAATGCATTGTCTGCTGAACGGAACGAATAGATTGAGACAATGCAATTACCTTCAAAATGTTCTGGGTACAAACAGAAATGCCAAGACTACCAAGACTATCCCTGGAAGACAGCTTCTCCAGATACACATTTAACTGCTTAAACTGCTTAAAGTATTTCTTTAACCATGAGAAAACTTTTAAAGCTAAGTTTTGAATGGCATCATTCTGCTTCCTATAAGAATATTTCGACGAACATAACAACGAAATCTTGCCCCTTCAAAAGTATTATTACTTCACATCTAGAAGTGCTTGCCAGTGTCACTGGTTCTCTATAATAATCACATGTTCCACCATTTGCATTAAGTATGTTCTTCCATTGACATTATTATCTATGATTTCTTGAGTATTTCTGATATTTCAGAGAAAGAGTCCAAAGTGTTAACAGACTTATCATAGAGAAGAGGGTTCTGATAGCCAATGCTTCCAACAGAATATAAAAAGAAGATCCTCTGGGGAGGAGCCCCTCCAGTTTGACTGTGTAGTGTATGTATACCACAGGCAACACTGCTGCAATAATTGCCTCTCAGTGTAATTTGTAACCTCCATCCAGTAGCATACGGATAAGAACACTTAGAATCAGATCTTATTACAAACTGATGAAAGGAAAGTTTTCAAAAACAATTCTTAATGCAATAATATGAAGCTGTGTCTTAAACTTTCCATGGGGAACATCGAGTCACTTGCCTTACTTTTGGGGAAAAAATCAACTGGTTGAATTAGTACTTGAAAGAGTAATTTCTATAGTTGACTCTAGGAATTGAGTACTTTTTGGTGGACGAGTGGTGCTACATATGTAGGTTCTAGACTGCCTATCTAGCCTTATAAGATATTTAGAAGATGATAGACACCAATCAATTGCAGAGATCAAACAATTAAGCAGATCAGTTTCACGACTATCAAAGCAGGCTTTGAAGACATATTGACAGCAACATTATTACAGGCTCTAGCTCTTTCATTCTTGCAAAAAAGTTGAGTGCAGTTAAAGAAGCGTTGAAGAAATGCAACTTGGAAAATAGGCTTAAATCTGAAACTGAAAAAAAAAAAAAGATATTGTCCAAGTGTGATTGAAAAAATAGACAGATCTGTAAAGCAAAGGCCCATTTCAGAAGAAGAGAGAGTGAAAAGAAGCCAGGCAAAGGCCACTTTTGATAGACTGACATATAAATATGAGCTCAAATGGAGGCAGAGGACAAAAGCCAACTGGTTGAAGGCCAGAGATAGGAAAACCAACTTTTTCCACAAATAGCAAATGCCCGGAACAGGGTCAACAACAATATGCAAATAGAACATGATGGCGTGGTAGGGGAAAACCTTTCTGAAATTAAAACTATTGCAACTACCTTTAAGCATCTTAGTGAGGAGAAGAAAATTTTCTCAGAGAGACCCTTTACCAAGGAAGAAGGGAGACAATTAACAAGTTGGATGATGACAAATCTCCAGAGCCAAACGGACTGACAAATCTTTTTCTATTTAAACTGTTGAGATGTAATCTGTCAAGATGTAATGAATGTCTTTCAGGTTTTTCATAGGAATGCTTCTTTGCAGAGGAGTTTGAATACCACTTTCATCACCCTGATTCCAAAGACTGAGGGGGCTGTGAACTTAAAGAATTTTAGACCCATAACTCTTCTCAGCAGATTTTATAAAATTTTAGCGAAAAGTTCTTACTGAAAGAATGAAAGGAGTGCTGAATAGTGTGATCTCTGAGAATCATTGTGCTTTTATTCCAAGCTGGCAGATGTTGTATAGTGCCTTGGTGGTTAATGAACTGATTGACTCTAGAAGAAGGGAAGGAAAACCTGGTTTGATTTGCAAACTGGACATTGAGAAAGCTTGAGATCATATGAACTGGACATGCCTTGATTTTGTGCTGGAAAATATGAATTTTGGGCAAAAATGGAAGAACTGGATCAAGGTTTGCACTACTTCCTATAAGTTCTCTGTGCTAGTTAATGGGCAATCAAATGACTTCTTTGAGAGCTCAAGAGGTATTAGACAGGGAGACTCCCTCTCCCCCCTTTTATTCATTTGTCTTCTGGAGATCCTCTCCCAATTCAGCAAGCTGGTGAAAAATGCTGGTCTGTGGGATGGTTTGAAATCTATCCAAGTGGTGGAAAAGTCCAAATCCTTCAGTTTGCTGGTGATGATCTGTGCTTCATTGATGCTTCTCATGATCAGTTGGAAGTGATGCTGGGCATTCTGTGTTGGTTTGAGGTGGTACCCAGACTTAAAGTCAACCTGGGCAAAAGCTTGAATATCCCAGTTGGGCAGGTTGAGGATGTGGAGCATTTAGTTTGTGTCATCTTGCCAGGTGGACCATCTTCTGGTGAAGTATCTTGGGTTGCCTTTGGTGGCCAAGTGTATTTCTTTCTCTATTTGGGAGCTGGGAATTGATCGTATGGAGAAGAAACTGTCTTCCTGGAAGGCAGAGTATCTATATTTTGGAGGGATTGTTACTTTAATCAAAAGCACTTTATCTAATCTCCCCTTACTATCTCTCCCTTTTCCCAATCTCAATGAAAGTGGCTAAGAAATTGGAAAGTTCAAAAAGAAATTTCTTGTGGAGAAGTTGGGGTGAAGAGAATAAGATTCATTTAGTAAATTGGAATCAGATATACTCTCCTGTAGAGAAAGGTGGCTTGGGGTGAGGAAAATTAAGGTGTTCAATAATGCTTTATTGGGAAAATGGATTCGGAGATTCAGAATAGAAAGAAATTCCTGGTGGAGGAATCTGATTGCTTCCAAATAGGGAGTTGATAGAGGTGGTTGGTTCTCTTCTGATTCCTTACCTTCTTGGGGCTGCTCCATCTGGAAGGGAATCATGAAGACTCTTCCTTCTTTCTCTAGGGGTTTGGGCTTCAAAGTGGGTAGAGAAGACAGGCTACGTTTTTTGGGAAGACCCCTGTGCACTGATCTTCCGTTATTTGAGTTGTTCCCCCTTCTTTTCCAGTGTGCTAAACCAGGAAACCATGGTAGGTGACTGTTTTGAGATTGTGGGAAATAATATAACCTGGGGACCACAGTTTAGAAGGAATTCCGATAACTGGGAGTTGGATGGGGTGCTAGAATTGCTCAGCTTCCTAAGGATCAGGCTGTGAATGTTAACCAAGAGGATGAATGGAGGCGGGATGGCATATTCTCTGTTAAAACTCTGGTGGCTAGGTTAAGTGATAGCAATTGTGATTTTTTTCCTATCAAACAGATTTGGAACCCTATCAGCCCTGTAAATCTAACTATTGGTTTGGGTGTTGGTGCTGGATAAATGTTTGACTGAAGACAATCTAACCAGAAGAAGCATGCAATTTCCAGACCTGAACCGTGGCCTTTGTGGGCAGTTTCCAGAATCAGTTGGTCACCTGTGTATTCATTGTACAATCTCATCCAAAATCTGGGAGTGTTTCCTCAAAGCAGTTGGTTTATGTTGGGTATACCTTATTCAGTTAAAGATCTAATTTGGTGTTGGAAGCTGCCAGGTCTGAGCAAGAAACGAAATTATTTATGGAAATCCATTTCTGCAGCTGTCCTTGGAACTATATGGGCAAAGAGGAATAACCAAGTCTTCTGTAAAAAAGAAAAAAGTGAGGATAAGTTAATTCAAAGTGCTGTTAGTAGATTGAATTCTTGGGTCTCTGGTGTTAAAGAGTTTAAGCGGCAGAATCTCTCTCTGTTGCTTAGCTCTCAGTCTTTGTGGGAGTTGTAATCTGTTTTGGGTAGACTGTTTTTTTACCAGAAGCCTGTTGTACAATGATTTTCTTCTATCAATAAAATCTTTACTTTACCTTTCAATATATATATAACACAAAAAAGACATCCTAACCTACACCCATCACATTTGGAGCAGTAGAGGTCCATCCAACTCATCTTATAATAACATTAGATTATTGGAACAAAGTGATATGACACTACGCAATGTTCTGATATGCATGCTTCTATACATCAGGACCACACAAAAAATATATATCAAAGTAAAATGGAAAGAAAGTCAATAGTAACAACCCATATGCATGTGCAATTTCCAAGGCAGCACAATAAAAAAAGTGCTCCAAAAAGAAAAATAAAATAGAAATGAAAGAAAAAAGCTACAGAATTTAAGCTACAACTCGTTCCTTACATGCATTATAAAGATTTCATCATCCTCAATCTTTCAAATAAATAGGGAAATTAAAGAAAAATCCTACAAGTGTTCATGCATTGGCTATGAGCTGTCTGTATACAAGAAATCCTCTTCAGGCAAATCGGAGTTTGGAGTATAACCAGCCCAGTTCATTTGTAATCTCAACCCATCAACAACACTGTAGATCTCAGTGAACCTTGGATGGGATGTGTCTCCGACTAGGAACTTATGAAGCTTATCCTCAATTTCTATCCAACTATATGCAGCTATCTTCTGTATTCTCCTATCCTTCATTAACTTCCTCACCTTTAAGGCTTCTTGCCATCTACCTACGCTAGCATATATGTTAGAAAGCAGGACATAATTCCCTGAGTTCTCTGGTTCTAATATTAGCAGCTTTTCAACTGAGCGCTCGGCAAGCTCTACATTCAAATAGGTCCTAGAAGCACTTAATAAGGTACCCCATATGACAACATTGGGCTCCATTTCCATATTACATATAAACTTGTAAGCCTCTTCTAATCGTCCTGACCTACAAAAGAGATCTACAATGCAGGCACAATGTTCAACCTTTGGTATGATATTGTGATCTGATTTCATGCTTTTGAAAAACTCAAGTCCCAATTCTACAAGCCCTGCATGGGTACACGCTGTTAACAACCCTGTGAATGTTATATCATTGGGTTTTACCTCAGCTTCTTTCATTTTCATGTAAAGTGAAATTGCATCTTCTGCTAATCCATTAGCAGCCAGTCCTCCAATCATGGAATTCCAAGAAACTATGTCTTTATGAGTCATCTGATCAAAGACCTGAAGTGCTTTTCTAATATTACCACATTTAGCATACATGTCTAATAATGCAGAGCCTACATAGACATTGGAGGCAAAGCCCCGACTCTCAATGTATTTGCCTATGCGCTCACCATGTTCTACTGAACCCAGTTGAGCACAAGCAGATAAAACGCTCACTAGTGTGACATCATTTGGCTTAACGTTCTCACTTTTCATTAGCTCGAAGAGTTCCAGTGCCTCATTTGATCTGCCATTTTGTGCATAACCTGCAATCATTGCACTCCATGCAACAATATCTCTTTGAGCCATCTGATCAAACTCCCTCCGTGCATCATTTACAGCCCCACACTTTACATACATTTCCAAAAGTGCAGTTGAAACAATCATATTTCTACACAACTTATTATTTTCAATCAACTTCCTTACTCTTAAACCCATCTCTAAGTCCCCTAACTTAGCACAAATAGATAGGATAGTCACCAAAGTAATTTCACTAGGCTGACACTTAACAGCTTGCATTCTTTCAAAAATCTCTAATGCTTGAGTATAATGCCCATTATGTGCATAGCAAGAAATCATAGAATTCCATGAAACAATTGTTCTCTCTGTCATCTTATCAAACAGATTACGTGCCACCAAAACCTCGCCGGATTTAGAATAGCCTGATATCAAGCAATTATAAGAAGCTGGATCTTTCACTGAGATTTCATCAAAGACCTGCTTAGCAGATCCCAAATCACCCGTTTTAGCATAGAAATCGATTAAAGTGGTCTGGATGAAAACATTTGAACCAAACCCATAATTTATAACAAGAGAATGAATTTGTTTCCCTTCGCTGGTCGCCATCAAGGAAGCACAGGAACTAAGAGCAGGCGAGAATGCAAAACAACTTATGCGAGCTAGGTCATGGTGCATCAAAAAGAACATTTTTTTAGCTTCAGCGTACAAAGACAGTTTAGAGTACGCTGATATGAAAGAACAATAGAGATATTGGTCTGGTTGAGGAACTTGGTTGAATACTAGGCGAGCATAATCAACAATAGAGAGATGTAAGAGCCTTTTGATGAAGAATGGGGTGAAACTGATGTACTTTTTGAATATGAGAGCATGAATTTGCTTCAGCTCCTTGAGGCGTACAGAGGACTGAAGCAAGGATATGAGATTTTGCTCCATGTTTATTGCCGAAATTGAAACTCTTTACAGTAAATACAGACTGGAACATAACGCGGGGAATTAAATTGAAATTGAGAATTCAGTTCCTTCTGGAGTGCCTGTCCATGAAGAGGAGTTGAAGTGTTAACTCCGGAAGCAGAGAAGTCAATAAGACTATGAATTTAGTTTTCCGGTGAAATGAAGGAAACCGGATTCCGTTCCAACGACCTTTATAGCCAGTGGGAATATCTCCCCATATGTTAGATGAGATGTGACTGTTAAGTGCATTCTGTGAGGAATATATCCCAATTCCCCAACACACGAGATAACGTGTTGTGGGTATACCGTAGACGTGAGCACAGGAGGTTCGGAGTCATTGGGACTGCCCTAGATGCCACAAATTTCACGGGAAAGTTAATTTTTTGGGTTCACACTTATTTTTGATGACTTTTCAGGGTTTTTTTACCAAGCATGTCTCGACGACATTTAATGAGCTTACATGTAAGGCGACAAGAATCAGAAGATGCAGCGTGAAATCCCTTTCGCCCGAATCTGGATTTGCTCCTATGCCTCACGCCAACCTCACAGCGTTTTCAGCGGTGCATTGAAAACACCTCCCGTACCTAATATTATCATTTACGAGAAGATGTTGGTAAATGGTAATGCATGAAAATACCTAAAGATATTTTATGTTTAGAATCGTGGGCATTTATTTATTAAATATTTATATTTAATTTATTTGTAAAATTCAAAAAAAAAATAATAAATTCGTTTATTGATATTTAGACATCACATCAGAAAAACAGTAAATAAATACTTATCTATTAAAAAAAACACTAAAATGAATTTCCCCCAACAATAAAGGTACATATATACCAATCTGCATAATGGGAAAAATGATGAAATAGTGAATATATATGTCAGCATTAACGCCCACGGTTCCAAAAACACGCACCATCATTGAAAACACCTCCCGTTTTTAATGTAACATTCATATTCACATGGATTAGGCAAAAGTTTTAATGACTGTCAACCTAACTCAACGCAAAGTGCAAGACAAGTTCACACCATAGAGTTAATAAAATACTCAAAATATTTGTGATCAGTTTAACTCATAAGTAGAAAAACAGATTCATTAACAAAAGCAACAGTACAGAAACAATAACAACACAGGAACATAAAAACAGAAAACAAACTACTAACACTAGACTAACAACAGACTAACCAAAGTACTAAAGGTTAATTCATAAATAATTAACATATCTATCAAAAAAATCATTTTGCATTTTGTATGATTTTTTGGGCAAGAGTTATGCATTTAATTTATTTAATTAGAAACTTATAAGCATATGTGCAAAACTTACCATTTCACTTGCATATAATAAAATAAAAAATGACCACATAAGATGGCCCCTCAAAATATTAATCCTACACTTGATTTATAGGAACTTCTAAACTATCTAATTTCCCTCTATTTTTCCACTTTCCCATAAAAATCTCTCTTCCATTACCTTAAAATTTCCAAACCAAATCCATACTTTATTTCTAAAATCTCTCTCTCTCTCTCTCTAATAAAGTAGGGTGGGTCCCAAAATTCTCCACCCATTACATTGGGTGAGCTAGTATTCTTATTCTTCTATTAATGTGTGCCTTTGGTTATTTTTGTTAATTCAATTTTGAAATTGTTTCTTTTTTTTTTCTCTAACTTGGTTATTGATCAGGGGCGCAATTAAAAAATTTTCATGAGGGGGGCCAAAACCTAAAGTGGATTAGGTTTGGGGAATAAATATAAATGCACCCATACGGGAGCAACCATTTGATTGGGGAGGGGGAGGGAGGAAATTTACATCGGAAACTATATTAATAGTGGGGGATTTTTGGACCATAGGGGGGCATGGCTCCCCTAGGTCCCTCCTTGACTCTACCCCTGTTATAGCCTATCCCCTAAACCCTTAACCCCAACCCTAGTGGTAGTAGGATTTGATCTCAAGCTTTGCTATATAGCCAGAGAACCTATAAACTAAGCCACCATTAGTTGGTTCAAATTCTAAGCAATTTATTTATGTATTTCTCGCAATATATAAGTTATACAAAAACGAATAAGTTTGAAGTTCAATAACTAAAAGAGAAAATAAAATTACTTTCTACTATTTCATATGTAAATAATTGAACTATATAAAAACTTTGATGAATAATTGGTACTTCATTACTTTCCTTAAAAATGCACTTTTAAACAACAACCCATGCATCATACCAGTCTTTACTAGTAACAAAAAAAATTATAAATGATAGACAAAAATTATTAAAAATACAAAAGTTGTAGAAAACATTTGGAATAAAAATTTAAACTAACTCAAAAATAAAACTATTTTTTCCATCTAATTGGTGATGAATGACCCATATGGGTTCAAATTGGGCAAGCTCAATCTAAGCGAGGACCAACCTACATTGCAATTTTAGACAAAATGGCTTGGATATTTTGTCCCTAGGCAACACATGGGCTTAGCGCAGAAGTTTGGGCTTATATATCTTTTTTTATGCGCTCAAGCCTAGCCTAACTACATATATACATACATGCATCTATTTGCATGCATGTATACATATACACATACATTTATGTCAAATGTTAGCACTGAGATGATTGGCCAATCCAAACCTTAGCCCAACCTAAGTGCATCAAATATCAATGCTAATTGGGCCAAAGTTAGACAAATCAAGCTTGACCTTGGGCTTAAGCCGTAGGTCCAATGTATAGGGTTGGGCCTAGGTTGAACATAAATTTGGCCCAACCTGCACAACTTGTAGTCTAACGATTTAATCAATTAGGTAAAATGGGTCAACTAATGATGTCATAATTAAATAAAGACAGATAGAATTCCAAAAACAAAAATATGGAAAATCCATAGAAAAAACAGAACATCTCAAGTACAATACATTTGCAATATTAAGCAAAGATAAGTGTGATAAACAATAATTTTTTTACAATTAATTATAAAAATGAAATTCATGATGGGTGATTTGGCTCGACCTATTCATGCACGGACATGTGGAAGCAACCTGTTGATTGGACATTGACTTGGCATTCCCTACCACCTCAACGAGCCAAGTCACCTCGGGTACCTTGGGCATCTCGGCCAAGACAGAGGTCTAAGCAGCTCGTGATGGCCTGACCTGCTGAGGTGACACGTAATTAACTTCTAGAAGCTAGTCAGCTGTCTCCGACCTTTTCGGGATCATGATGCACGTCTACGAGCCTTATCCTTATCCTGCCCAGATTGAACGAACTCGATAAGCCTTATCGGCTAGCAGGAAATCTACCTCCTGGTGTGCAATGGACTCCTAACAATGCTGGTTGAAGATCTCGGGGGTGTTTCGTGAGACCTATGACAACTCACCTATATAAGAGCATCAACCCCAAAAACATAAGGTATGCACGATTTACTACTTACTAGCATTCTAGAATTCAAGCATTCAGCTCGCTCAACAAAAGTACTAACTTACATGGTGTTTGGAAGCGTGGGCGCTTTTTGGGACTGATTTTCAAGAAAAAATGCCCATGCTTCCAAGACCCGTTTTTCACAAAAAAACGCTACTTGGTAGTGAGCAACACTATGTTGTTTGGTAAGGTGATTTTCATCACAATTTTTTATGTATGTGTTGACAGGTAAGCACCACATAGGATACACATCATCAACCGTTGGGGGAAACAATGCATCAGTGGGGTCTCGATTTTCGAGGCATACCCGATTTTTTAATACTCGATTGAACCAAACAATGAGATACATGGGTGTTTGTTGAAACACATATGTGGATCCAACGTGGCACCATTTTTTTGAAAAACAGCCATGGTTCCAAATATCCCCTTAAGCATCGGAGTACCAACATTGGGTAAGCCACCCTGGGCAATCGACACCTGAGCTGCATCAGAAATAGAAAATTTTAAATTTTCCCTAAAACGAGGTTGTTTTCTCTTTCAAGCCAGATAGATCAATGCATGATGTCATAATTATATAATAAAAACTAAAAATAGTCAAAAAAATATAAAAATACAGAAAATTGTCAAAAAAGTTAGAACATCTCTAATATTACATGCTTATCATATTAACAGGAAATATATGATAAATAAAATTAATCTTATATATTAGCAATAGAGATAAAATACAAAATTTAAATATACAAGCACACTATGCTTTAATTACTTATCTTTTTAATGGATTTTGATAGGGATATTGAAAATATTATTGTTATATCAAATTATCACATGCAACACTCATGGAAATTTACTAAATGCTAATTAAAGTGAAGGATGGTTTTTCCCAAATGTAACTTTACATAACTTGTTTTGAAGATAGTACAAACTTTATACTTGAAACTTGTCCAGCCAAACATGATAATTGTTTACTAAAAGCCAAAACTCCTACATGGCACCAAACTTGATATTAAAGTACAAACATTATAACTTTAACTTAAAGTTATCAAACGCTATCTTTATGATTAGAACATTTGATTAAACTGGTAAAACTAGAATGGTCCCCTCTCCAATTCAATCTTAATATTCAATAATACTTGTAGGGGTGCAATTCAATCGATTTAGTTTGGTTTGGATAGAAATAGAACTTACTGATATTTTGGTATGGGGAAAATCTATGATATTGGAAAAATATGGTATCGGAAGAGCTTTGACCAATTAAAGCACTTTGTGAATTTTGATGAATACCACTTGATTGGTCACCTTTTTTATGATATTGGTTGATTGGCTCTAAGTTTTTCTGGTATCATGGTTGAACCCTTTAATATGACCATTTCATAAATCAAACCAAATCAAATTCATCACAACTGAATCAAACCAAATTGAATTCAAATCATTTTCAAATAGGTTTGGAGCCTTTTTTATGGGCTTTAAGCAGGCTTAAAACAACGAATTCATCAAATATAGTTCAAGCCCAAAATTAAATCGTCGCCATCTTGTCAGCCTAATAGCCTACTTAACTGATAGGCTCGTTTAGATAACAATACAACACATTTGTTCACAATATTACTCATCAAGTATTAGAAATTAATTAAACATACATAAAAATACCTACTACCTTCTCACCAAGTACCAAAATGAGGGATTGTTTGTTTTGTTTTTTATTATTTGTGATAAAAACCTAAGTATTTATTTTAAAAAGTTATATGGTGTATGCACCATCACTATAAACTTAAGTATTAACAAATCAAATAATTTATGAATATATTATATATAATTGTATTAATATTTATTATTCATTTTTTGCCTCATTTGGTTAAAAGTCTGCAAATCGAAGTGAAACCGAAAACTAAATTAAAACTATATATTTTTTTTTAATTTCAAATTACATCGAATCAAAAAACCAATTCAACCAAACCAAATTATCTTGTTTGGTTTGGTTTTCGATATGTAGCCAACTTGGAGTACCCTTTTTTTGGGTATTCGGTGCTATGCACTATTAATGACTTCCCCTAATTCTTTTTTCACCAAAATGCTGATTGCAGGATTTGATTCCACGTCAATGCTGAATAAACCATATAATACACCAACGAGACAGCCCTAGGTTGGTTGAACACCCCTATTTGGTATGTAGGAATTCTAAGTTGACAATTCAAAACTTGCTGCTATAACACCAAGAACACTTTTTTTTGACGCTTATAACAACAAGCACACTTTGGGATCTATTGCCAGTACTTACATGTATAATAGGCTACTTATCAATCATAAGTGAACATGCCAATATTGGATATATGAACTCATTTATAGTGTGGGCCCATATGGGCCCCATGTATATGGAACATTGGATTCTCGTTCAGAATTTGTCTAAATCATTTTCCCATTCTTTTAAAAACCGACCAAGAAGCTGAACCGTTTTTGTCTCTATGTATGTATGTATGTATGTATATATGTATGTATGTATGTATGTATGTGTGTATGTGTATACATATATGGTCTCCGAAAGTCTTACATGCATTGACTGTGTAATTCATGACCTGATCACTGGGTCAAATGGCTCAATAATTAAACCGGTCAAATTAAATGATTCTTGACCAAGTCAACAGCTTTTTGACTGTCTAACGGGTCTTAACTGAACTGGACCCGAATTTCTTTTTGCTACTCTCCACCAAGATGGTTGGATCAGATTTTTTGTAGTATTTTTCTCTATCTAGTGGTTTTCTTTTTTGCCATTTAAAAAAAAAGCTCGTTATATGTGCCAATGTTAATAGAACAACCGAGTTCAAATCAACCCCCCACACCGGAAGATGTTTCTAATACACGACAAAGATGTGAGATGTTGTAGGTCTCAGAACAACCAAGTCAACAGCACTCTAATAAATCTCCACAAAGTTGGTGATAGCTGGTTGTGGGACTCAAATCCTCATCTCTACGGGGAGCATGGGACAATCCAGTTAATATACCAATTGAGACTTGAGGGTACAGTGTTTAAGAGTCTATGGTCAAATGAGATTTTCCTCATAAATTCATGTAAATAGATTTATTAAAACCTAACTTTCTAGTTTTCATATTGCTAACTATTAAAATTCTGATCACACTTTTAGGTTATGTTTGGTTTGAAGGAAAAAGTAGGAAAAGGTAAGAAAATTTATACAAATTTTGTAAAAGTTTTTCTATCTTTTCTTTCCTTTTTCTATTTTTTCCTTCAAATCAAACACAGCCTAAGGGTTTTCGCTTTATTTAATTGATTTTCTATTAGAAATTATTTATATTTTCGTTTGAAAATGGTCACGTCAATTCTTAAAATAAGTGGAAAATTAACAGAACATGGATCTAAGTTTATTATTAAAAAATTTTCACATCAGCATGACCTATGCATTTTTCACATTTTCCATTTATTTTAAAAGGTCGGTGACCATTTTAAATGAAAATATAAAAAAAGTCATGACAAAAGATGATAATTATAAACTATATCTTAAATTTGAATAGACAAACTGATTGATTATCATTTACCACTTTTATGATGCGAATTGAGTGGTTATAAGTTTTTTCGGTATCATATATTGTCTTTCGGCATCGTATTGCAAACTTTTATTTTTTAAATGGACCACGTAATGGGTGGTGGAGTGTAGCCCGTCCCCATACCCATAAGTACTCAACCCTGTTTAAGCTCGATTTGATCCCAAGTGTGCAGCTAGCCAGTAAATTTACCGATTAAGCAACCTAGGAAATCTATATAAATGATGACGTGGCAAATCGTAACGCTCAAAATCTCCGTAATGACCAAAGCTTGGATGACGTGAACGTCATTATTGGTCGAAGGACCCAACGGAGCCTCGTTCAGCTGATCCGGATTCCCCCTAAAAAACCCCGTATGAAATATATGTGGCTCGTCGAGTCGTCGTTATATATTAGCGGCTACGAAGGTTGGCACTCCTCTTTTCTGCTGCCGTCTCCACCCTCTTGAGTTTTGATGGGAATACTTTCGGCCTAGAACATTCATTCTTTCGGTGGATGCTTGGAAACTTCTGCTTCCTTTATTTGATGTGAAAATCCATCACCATCACCCGGTGGATTTGAGTTCTCTGCCGTGAGCATACCAGGTACCTGATCTCTCTCTCTCTCTCTCTCTTGTTCTACTCCTCTCGATCTCTCTAAACAGTTGCAGATGGGTTAGCTGATGAATGCTCTTCTGTTCGAGTAGCCGGGAGGGTTGTGTGTAAGCGTTCAAATGGGGTACTGGCTGTCAGTCTGGAGTTCGTATCTGAGCCACGAGCTGCAGAATATGGACAAGGGGAGGATATTCTCTAACTTATTATTCCAAATATACCAATAAATCATCTGGGTTTTGTCGATTTGGCCGGTTGGCCCCATCTCGCTGGTCGCTTTTAGAGAGAGCCTTGAGAGGCAGGAATGGAGACCCATCTCCCCTGTAGAGCCACTGGGTGGTTGCATCTTCTCAACCTGGGTGCTCTTGTTCTCTTCTCTCCCATTCAGTCGGCAGTGAATTTGTTTGTTTGGACACTTATTTTAATTGAAAATTAGTAGAACCAATATCGACACTTGTGTAATTTATGTAGAAACATGGGACGATTTGCTGTTGTGGATGTCGTGAGATAGATAGATCGTCTCTCTTAGTTAGCTTGTTTGTTTCTGCATACCTGCATCTTGTTGTCCCTCTTTGCCTCTCTCTAATTCTTTTTCTCTTGTTTGAAGGAAAGCGAAGCGAAAAGGAGGAAGAGAAATGGCTCTAAAACCGAGTCCCTTCTCCATTCAATCTAAGAATTTCCCATCCTTTGCTCTTCCTTCTGCAGTGAAGCCTAGGTGTTCCAGGGTTTGCATGGCTTCCACCCTTAGCTCCAGTACCAAGTGAGTTCCTTTCGTTATTTCACATTTCAAAAGTTAACTGGATGCCAGTACGCTACGTTTTCTTTATACTCCTCTTTTATCCCAGATAAGTAGGATGTATCTTATCACAATTTTCACTATTATGTTTCATTTTTATCTAGATTGGTGCTTATTACTTCTTATCTGGCTTGGAGCATGCCCATTTTTAAGTTCCATTTGTCCCTGTCGTTTTTGTTTTTCAATGCTTTTATCTGATTCAAGCCTTTTTTTTTCCTTTTCTCTTTTAAGTGTACTGGTCCATTGAGAATTGGGCTGGATTTTTTGCAGTTCTGTTTTCTTTGGTAGGCTGTTGATTACTTTCTTTTTCTTTTTTATTGGATTTGGTTGTTGATGCATGCTGTGGGACATGCACGGGTTTCTTGTTATCTTGGCCGAAGGTTCCTGTTTCTTCTTTCCCTTTTCCCTTTAAATTAGATGTTTAATCTTTGATTGTTGAATTGCTTTTTTTTTGTTTAGTTATATTTCTCTCTGGGTTCTATTTATACAATTTGTCATATTTTGTCTGTCCATCTTATTGGACTGATCTGTTGGTGTTTAGAATATGATGGTATTTGTATCTGGAGGATTATCAACACACTTTATTTTGTATATTTTGTGTTGAATTAGTTGAAATTTAGGTGTTTCTAGCTAGTGACTGTGCATGGAACAGCTGCGCAGGAACAATTATTTTAAATTGGCAGGATATCTATCCATTGGAAAACAAGGTTGCTTATAAAATTTATAGGCCTCAAGTTGATCTTCTACTACAACGATATATCTAATTTATATTTATTAAATTTTTATATAAGATTATTTTAATGACATTTTAATTATAACAATGTTTCCCTCTATTATTTTGCTTTGCTTTGCTTTCAGGATGTTGTGGAAAGTAACATTGAGAGCACGTGGCTTTCAAAAAGTAGAATCAATGATGTTTGTTTTTTGGTCATATTGTTTCCAACAAGTGAAACTTGGTTTTTTGAAAATACAATATTCAAGTCAGTTATCTTATTGTGATATTTTCAGTAGATAATCATCAAGGTGGTGAGGTGATACTAGGCAACATGGTATTGCTTCAAGTAGAAATCACTAATTGCAGATTTAGTCGAGTTTTTTGTGAAAGGAAAGAGGAGGAAGATGAAGATTTCAGCAGTAGAGAAGAAAGGAGAAGAAGAAAAGAGTAGGAAGTCAATTAGGATTGTAAAAATTAACCCTAGCCGCCAACCTCTCATTATATTTATACTTAACTTAAAGGATGAGATATTACAAGGATGCTCTTAGTAGGGCGACTACTAATATAGCTGAATAGTTTCAACTGTCCATGATCAATAAACAATATGCCTCTGCCCAAGTGTCATTTCAGATAAGCAAAAATCCTATCAATTGCCTCCCAATGCTGGACTCGTGGAGCATGCATGTATTGACTTACTACACTTACTGCATGGGAAATGACTGGTCTTGTCATACACAAGTATAGCAGCTGACCCACAAGTCTCTGACATCTCCCAATGTCCTTTACTGGTTCACCTTCTGATGCATTGATTTTATGGTTCTGATCAATAGGGGTGTTGATTGCCTTTGTTCTAAGCTTCCCTGTCTCTTGAAGAAGATCCAAGACATACTTCCTTTGAGAGATAAAAATTCAATGTTTTGATCTTGCAACTTCAATGCCTAAGAAATATCTCAGTTCTCCAAGATCTTTAATTTCAAATTCTTTATGTAGGTTCCTTTTCAGACCATCAATCTCACTCAGATCATTCCCCGTGACAACAATATCATCCACATAAACAATTAGGACTGACACCAAAGATCCCCTTCTCTTCACAAATAAGGTGTGATCGGATTGAATCTGAGTGTAGCCAAAAGCAATCAAGGCCTTTATGAATCTGTCAAACCATGCTCTGGGAGATTGTTTCAAGCCATAAGTGACTTCTTAAGCCTGCATACCTTTCCCTTTTCAGTATCATTGTAAAAGCCAGTAGGAAGATCCATATACACTTCTCTTGCAAATCCCCATTTAGGAAAGCATTCTTCACATCAAGTTGAAACAAGCGCCAAGAGTATGAGGTAGCAAGAGAAAGAAGTATCCGAACAGAGGTCATCTTTGCAACTGGTTCAAAGGTCTCTAAGTAATCAATGCCATAGGTCTGTGTGTACCMTTTTGCAACAAGTCTTGCCTTGTACCTTTCTATACTTCCATCTGCCTTATATTTTACTGTGTAAACCCATTTGCATCCAACTGTCTCCTTGCCTTCTAGTAGATCCACAATGGCCCATGTCCGATTCTTAATCAAAGCTGCCATCTCTTCCTGCATAGCTG